TTGACTTTAGCCGGAACTGGGGACTGAGACTGCGGCATCTAAATATTTAATTCATGTCCTTTCTGTGCGGCATGTCTATTTATTCAACTGAAAAGGGAAAGCCGTGTCGTCTATCCTATAGAAAATCAATCAAAAGTCTTGAATAAATACTAGCATACACAATCACACACCACACACACCACGCACACACAATCACACTTTCGCCCTCACTCTCAAGCGCTCTCCAGAGTGTGGCACGTACAGGAGCTAACCACAGGCACAAGAGGGGGCAGCTCCCGTCAATAGGGCGGCTGGGAACAATAAAAAACGTGGCAAACTAAGTGGAACAGACAGACATTTGGAAATGAATCAATACAAGGAGCCAACACACACACAGGGACACACACACACACACACCAAAAAGTTCACTAGGCTCTGCCAGGAGCTGCGAGCTGGGAGTTGGTAGCTGTTCTGACCGCGATTGCGTATCCCTGTTGGAAATTCAAGTCAAAGGCAAAGTTCGCACAGGAAACAAACACCTTTTCATTTGTATCTATTAGATTAAAATTCATGTCGACGCACTCGCATATGTACAGAGCCACATGTGTATGCGTGTGCGTGTGTGTGTGTGTGTGTGTGTGTGTGTGTGTGTGTGTGTGTGCTTACTGTTGTGTGTTCTAAAAGATACACTGTATAAAGTGGCAAGAAAATTGAGCCCGAAGCTCACAATCATCATTGGCTTTGTGCAAACACACAAGCTCAGATACATGTACGCACTTGCCTCTTGGCAAGTGGGGAGGGGTGGAGTGAAATGAGCAAGGGTATTGCCAACAACGATTGTCGCTGCCGTCGTTGCTGCTGCTGCTATCTACGACAGAACACGAACAAGAACAACAATAACATCGAGGCGAAGCGAAACGAGGCAAGGCGGGGCGAAGTGAAGCGAGGCGAGGCGAGGCGAGCATAAGCTGCCACCAATACGAGTACAAGCAACAGCGAACAGCAACAGCAACAGTAACAGATACACATACAGATACGCACGGTGCAGTTGTGGCAACAAGAAAAATACAAAAGATACAAATGTATCTCGTGTTCGAAATATAAAAATCGTTAAACAAAGACTGACGTTGTTCCTGGATTTCGAGCGGCTGCGACTGCGACTGCGACTGCGACTAACGACTGCGACTGTCGCTGTTACTGATGCCGCAGTGGCTGTGGCTGTGACTGTAGCTGGCGCTGGCGAACCCGCGGGTGGCAACGGCCCAGGCATAATCTAGCCCTCCCGCTTTTGCTGCCGCCAACTTCGGTCTGCTTGCGCTGCAAGCTTTCTCTTTCTGTTGCTCCAGCAATCTGCCACCCCAGCCCCCTAAATGCGCCAACTCCTTCTGAACAAACCAGGCGCTGGCTCCATAGCGCCATTGAGCGCCCGCCTCCTGCACTCAAGAGATGTCGCCGCCGTCGCATCTACCCCCTCCCTCCCAGCACCCAGCGCTAGCAAATGTCGCTGTGGTGGAAGCTGTGGCTGTTGCTGCGGCTATGACTACCGCTGGCTTCGGCTCCTGTGGCAACCGCGACGGCATTTTGTGCCCTCGCCAATGACTTAACGTGATCTGAATTTGTTGCCCGCAGGCCAATTACTGCCAAAAAAAAAAAAAAAAAAAAAAAACACAACGATATGCAAAATATGGCAACGGATATGGCTGCTTGGCAGGTCGCCTTAACGCAGATTTCTGCTGCTGCCAGTTGGGCGCATCAAGAATTATTTGAAGATCGGCTAGTAAGACATTTTAGATATTTAATTAGATGTATTGTTATTTCATTTACTGTTATAAGTAAAAGATGTCAAACTATTTTAAAAAACAGTTTTTTTTTTATTATAAGATACATTGTCATTTCTCCTACTATTATATTAATAGTATATTAATCTATTTAAAATTGAAATTAGTAAAGCCATGTACAAGTCTGAAATTTGAGCCTGGATTTTGAATTCTGGTCTGTGTTATTATTTGCAAATCCGATCTTCCTTTTTTGCTCTGAAAAAGAAAGTTTTAAGACCTCACAAAAAATATCTTATTAAATATTATTACATAAAGAACGTTCTAAATAGGTTTTGTTTGAAAAATATTCAATAATGGAGCCTTATTATTATAAAAAAAATAATATATATCATTATATCAAGTATCATGTATATCAAGTAAAATATTTATTAAACTGTAAGAAGAATATTAAGCAATCATTAAAAACTAAAAATATTTATATTTAAATATTTCTTTATTATTATTTTGTTTATTATGATTTGATAATTGATTATAATTGTTGTTATTACTATTAACATTATTATTATTAATGTTATTATTAGTATTATAAATATTATCCGATAAAGAGGTTCGTAAAATATAAATGATTGCAGTTATTAAAAGCAGAACAATTTATTTTCAAACTAACAATTTTTAAAGTATATTGACTAAAACCACTTTCAGGTGGCAAGTTGTGCTTCTTAGTCAGATTTGAATCATATTACTTGTGGCTTATAAACTTATGTGTAAATGTTTAGATACATATGTGTATGGTCAATACGCCCAAAGTGCTTAAATTTTGTTGTTGTTCAATGAGGAAGAAACATTATCATCAACAAGATTTTCGTTTTTCTACACATCATCTAGCAGCTGCCAAATGGTGGCTTGGCCCACAGAGGATACCAGGATGCGTTAACAGACAGAGAGAGAAAGATATATATATATTTATATAGAGAAAGAGCGGCAAAGAGCAAAGGAAGCTGGAACGGAGGGGGAATAAACGTATCAGAGGCTGTCGCAAAACCAACTCACTTACATGAGTACAACAAAGTAACTTCATTTAAATGCTGTAGGAATTTGTTTTCGGCGTGTGCGACACCCGCACGCAGACGGAGGGGGGAGTAGGGACGTGGTCGAGTGTGGTAGGGGGTGTGTGTGGAGGGTGGCAATATAAAGCTTAAAATGAAATTTAGCTGCAGCGCGGCAAACGTTTCCCATTCAAATGGCATACATATGTTGATACATGTGTACGTACATCTATGTATGTAGTTGTGTCTATGTGTGTGCATATGTATGCATAAATATGTATCTTTGTTAAAATGTAGCTACAAAAACGATTCGATAGCGCACTCTCCTTCTCTCTCTCTATCTCTCACTCTTTCCCTCTCACTCGCTCGCGCTCCTCACAGTCGCCATCCCGCTTGCGCCATCGATCTCGCTCACTCGCCCGCGTTGCACGTTGTCGCGGACAGCCGTCGGCGTCGTCACTCCTCACGAGTGGCGTTTCAATTAATTAGAAAAAGTTAAAGAAACCCCCCCGCCAAAGAGGGAGGCAAAACCAAAAAAAAAAAAAAAAAAAAAAACAACAAATATCTCCGTAATAAAATGTAAGCGCGCATGCAATAGCAGCAGCAGCTGCGGTGGCAGTGGCAGTCGCGGTGTCGCTGTCGGTATCGCTATCGGTGGCATAGTCGGCGCCAGCGGGAGCAGAAGCAGCAGCAGCGCGGAAGATGCCGCCAATCCAGCAAGAGCCAGCCAGGCAGCCAGGCAGCCAACGTGGTCAGCAGGCGGCAGAGGCAAGTGGCAAGCGGCAAGCGGCAGCAGAGGTTGATAAAACCAAACTGAGCTCAACACAGCTGTAGCCAAAGCAGAAGCTGAAGCTGAAGCTGAAGCAGCAGCGGTGGCAGTGGCAGCAACTGAAACATCGGCCCACCCCTTTCACGAGTTTTGTTCATGTTCATCAAGTTTTTCTTATTTTCCATTACGGTTCGAGCGGTTCGCTTTCTCGCTGCTCGCTCGTGTTGTTTATGGCAACAAATACTTGTACAACGTACCGACAACCAGTTCCAAGCCCCCAGCTTGACGGCAGCAGCAGCAGCAGCAGCAAGTAGCTGCAACAACAGCAGCAGCAACAGCAACAACAACAACAATAACAAAGACAAAGGCAACAACAGTGCGTACAAATACATACATCGGCATTTACAACAACACGCAATAACAGCCATTTTTCTAGTTGTTAAGTTAATTTTTTCATGTTCTGCTGGCTCGCTCGCACTTAACACGCGGGGCAACAGCAACAGCAACAGCAACAACAAAGTCGCACTCGGCGTCCACACGAGATGCCCGACAACAGCCAACAGCCAACAGGCAACAACCAACAAGCGCACAACAACCTACTGAGCGAATGCGATTCGTGGCCACTCTCAGGTGCTGTCTCGCTCTCGCTAGCGCTCAGCGCAATAGCCCAGATACTTTATTTATGGTCGCAGCAGCTTTCAGATAATTTTTGTGCTGTTGTAGTTGTAGCAGTTGTTGTTGTTGTTGTTGTTTTGCTGTCGCTGCAGCCGCAGTTGCTGTCGCCGTGACGCAACCGGTTCTCAATGCTGTTGTTGTTATTGTTCTGCTGCAGTAGCGAGCAGCAAACCAGCAGCCCGTCTCGCTCGCACACACGGTACGCGTGACAAACAGCCAGCCCACTTTTAATGATAATCATTATTGCCGTTGTTACGGTTGCTGTTGCTCGTTGTTGTTATTGTTGTTATTGTTGTTGTTGCTGTTGATACTTTTTCTGCTTTTGCTGTGGCTCAGACACACACACAAACACACAGGCACGCACACTGACAGGCGCGAGAGAGCACAGCGCACGCACACTAGCATACGAATTAGGGGAGAAACGAGTTTTGTTCACAGTCGCCGGCGCTCTCTCTCACACACACAGTCGCACCGGGCTTATCTGTGTGCATTCGACGCGTATCTGTGTGCGTGTGTGTGTGTATTGCTCTTGTGGTAGCGACGCTGCTTGTAGCTGCCGCTCGCTGCTGCTGCTGTGCTGTTGCTGTTGCTGTTGTTGCTGTTTTCGCTGTTTTCGATTGTCGGTTGTCGTGTAATTCCCATTTGTCGTACACTTTGTAGTTGCTCAAGAAACTCATGTTAGTCTACTTTTGGCTGTTACGCAGATTGTTCGTATCGTTCGTTCGTTCGTCAGTCAGCTTCAGCTCGTTCGTGCCTGTGTGCGCCTCTGCCTCTGTCAGTGCCAGTGCCAGCGCCTCTGTCAGTGCCCGTAGTGCCCGCAGCGCTAGTCGCAGCCTGTCGTGCCGCCTCGCCGCCTCGATTCCAAACAGTACGTGCGTTCGCATTGCATTGGCTCGCCTTCGCCTCCGTCTCCGACTCCAACTCTGATTCCGACTCCGGCTCCGGCTACGGCTCCGGCTCAAACTTCGATACCGACTTCGTTTTCGCTAATGCCTTTGCCTTTGCCTTTGCATTTGCCACCGCTGTAACCTGGCAGCAGCAGGCGCTAAGATTTTCAAACAACGTAGTTCTCAATCGCAAACTGTTCCGACTTTTGGATTGTTTAACCGTTCAATCGTTTGACCGTCGGCATATGCGCACCATGAAAAAAGTGTAAAATTCGCGCTAGTTTTGAAATACATGTGGTGCACACCCACTCACACACACACACACACACAAATACACACACGCGCACTTAAAGAGTGTTCGCTGGAAGTTACAAGAAATTCAACATAATTACAACAAAAAATATTACAATAAAAGTAAAAAGCAAATCAGAAATCAAAACAACTCAATTTGGAGAACCAACACGGAAGAAGTTCAGTTCATGCACAAGTTGCAGCTAAAAATTTTGAGTCCAATTCAAACGAATTTGGAAAATTGTGCGGCTTTTGCTTTGTTTTGTTCAAAATCGTGCCGTGCGTCTTTTGAGTACATATAATTATTATTAGTTCAACCTGGAAAGCAAACCGAAATTAAATGACAGTGCACAGTAATGAAACCGGTGTCTGTTTAGTAATGGTAAGTACCACAAGCTTATCTACTAAGAAACTAAACTCAAACAACTGCCTTAATGTTAGCAATTAATCGGGAGTATATTATAATATAGGACTGACTAGTTAAACGAGCGAAAAAGGTTGAGGAAATTGATGGGCCATAAGTAGATATAAATATCTTAAATTCTATTGCTGATTAGACAAAGAGAATTTTTGAAAAATCAAATAGAAAATCAATAGAAATTCGTAAACATCATAATCAGTTATTTCAAAAACTAAAAAGCTTAGATGAACAGTTCTTCAGATTCAAATCCAATTTCATAGCAGTTAAACAGAGATTCCAATTCGATTTCAGACCAAAAAACAGTTAATATATATATCATAGATAGATATAAAAACCTATGCCGCACAAGACATCAAGATTAAAGATCACAGATTAAGGATCTATATATTGAAAAAATAATCAGAAAGTTCAATTTATATATTTATACCAGATGATCGTGTTTTACTCATGTTCTACCTCATAGAACCAACTGTTAATGTATATAAGTTAAATATTTCGAAATGCACGATTGTTATTTTAATAATGCAATTTCTATGAATGATAAATATAGCAAGACCAATAGGAATCAGTATGTTTATGTCCACTTAATATCTGGTAATGGTTTAAAAATATATTCATGTCCAGTTTATGTTAAAGATACAATATCTATTCAAAGAACCGGGCCTCTAGGCAAGCCAGTCTTCCCATTATTTTCATCCAATTTTCCACCAATAAAAATAATTGTTATTTCTCTTCTGAAAAACTCTTAAAATTTGCCCATGATAAAAACAAAGTTTAAAAATATTTAAGCGAGATTCTCAAATTAATTTTCACTTGTTCGACAAGGTGTTAGTTGCAGCAAATTCGACTTGACAGAGGCAGAGATCGGTAAAAAGCGCAAGAGGCAGAAGAGTGTGCGGCATGTGCAGGCATTTTTAAAAATAAATCGAAACAAAAGAAATTTCAAATCGATGTCTGCCAAATCCATTTTCAATCCCCAAATGTCAGACCATACATTTTTGGTGCCACATTCGTACAGTGTATTCGCTGTGTTTCTTGCCTCATGCCAGATCGCGGGCCAGCGGGGACATGTGTCCATACATGATGCCAACTGAGAGGCAGAAGGGGGAGAGGAAGGGGGGGGGGGGGCAGTTGCGGGTGTATATACGATATATACTACGAAAGATACTATACTACAGATAGGTGCATAACCGAACACGTACTACCTACTAGAGTGGATATTGCTATGCTTCTGTGTGCACACTTGTGTGCGAGTTGTGTGTCTGTTGTGCCTTTGTGTGTGTGCGTGTGTTTTCAAGAGCCAGCATGTTGTATGCCTGGTAATACGATCTACATAGAGTGGCAAATATGGCAAGTTAATGTTGCCTGTTTGGTCAAATGTAATCAATTCAACTTATACTTGACACTTCAGCGCCAACACACACACACACACACACACACTTTGGCACATTAATTACAAATAAGTAACGAGAACAAGCGCTATGAAAAGAGCCCATAAAATGCTTGCGATAAACAAAACAACAACAGAACAACAAAAACAAATCATATGAAATGCAACTTGTAGAACAACAAAGAAAACTGAAACCGAAACCGAATCTGAATCCGAAACCGAAATATCTGAATTGAAGTCGCAGCGAAAATGCAAATCGCTGTTTAGATCGAAAATTCCTCTGTCACACACTCAGTGTATGTGTGTGTGTGTGTGTGTGTGTATGTGGATATACAACACTTTCGAATAATTCTCAAGTTGTTGACTACACACAAGCATTTGTTTATACAAATACTCGATTCGATAGCGTTTTCCATTTTGGATGTTCCTCTAGAGAAACACACACACATGCCATGCCTCCAAATATGTACACATATATATAGCATATATATTGTCGCGTAGAAGACATGGCGTAGCCCGGCGATAAACATCCGCGGCGGCTGATTCAAAGGCGCCAACTGATAACCCCCATCAGCCCATCAGAAACCCGAAAATGGTCTTCATATGGGTCAGAGAATTAATTTTTAATCGCGTATGGCCACTTCAGTTGTTTAGAGTAGTCCGGCACGGGGAAGGGGCAGGGGTAGGGGGAGGGGGGGAGGCGTTGCTTACGAGGTGGAGACAGTGCATCCGTCTATATCTGCGCCTATTTTGTGATATCGCTCACTGTGTTTGGCCGGCCAGATAAAAATCCAATCTAGAGCCTTGAAACATGAGTAAAAAAAGAAGAAAATGAAAAAAAAAACCGGGCAAAGAGGCTACAACCAAGAGACCAAAATCGAGAAAAGTTTACGAAAGCAGCCAAAGAGACGATAATAAATAAAACTGAAACTTGTTTGTGTGTCTCTGCAGGCCGCATGTGCGAATGTGTGTTGTTGGTGTTGTTGTTGTTGTTGTTGTTCTCGTTGCAGTTGTTGTTGTTGTTGCAGTTGTTTCTGTTGCTTGACTAAAAGTGTTGACAAAAGTGCGCGATAGGCTTATGTGCACACACAAAAACATGGGCACGGACCAAGATGCACAAAGCCCGTTTCCAGTCATTGGACACACAAGCACACAGATACACACGCACACAATCAAATTGCTCTTAGGACGATGTTGTCGTTGCAGTTGTTGTTGCTGTTGCTGTTGCTGTTGCTGCAGTTGTCGTTGCAGTTGGCCGCGCTGCCAGCAATCGGCTGTGTAATTTAAATCAATGTTGTCAATCGAAAACATGATTTGTTGTTAATGGCGGCCCCACTTTGATGATCGCCTAGGACACAGTCAAAGATGTGGCTATTAAGGGGTATCGGGCCTATTGGTTCTAGGGTCGGTTTGCTGACTGTTCGTGTGTGTGTGTGTGTATGTGTGTGCACACAAGAGACGCGCTTATCGCATTGATAAGAGGGGGCAACGATTTTAATTAAGTTTTGCCGCGCGGGCTGCTAGCTGCCAGCCAGGTACAGTAGACAGTAGACGGTAGACAGTTGGGAGTTGGTAGTTGGTAGTTGGCAGTAGTTTGTCTGCTTGGCATTCGCAATCGCTCATCTGTTTGGTTTTGTTTTTCACTTGCAGAATGCCGTTTCAACTCGCCTTGCTGCCTCATCGCCTACCACGCCCACTTCGAACGCCGCACAGACGCCGCTCTCACAGCCAGCATCATCGACGTTGCCACCGTTGCCAACGCTAGCGAATCCAACAACCGTCACCGGCACCGGCACCAGCACCGGCTCCGGCCACGGCATTGGTGCCGGCCCGGGACCAACGCTTACCGCAGCCGTAGCTGCTGCTGCCGCCGGCTTGCCACCGGGTGTGCCCCTGCCATTGACTGGGCCAGGCTCTGGAATGGTAACATCAACAGTGCCGCCGGGTGCTCGCTCCGGCTCACCGTGCTCGGCCGCTGTCACGCCATACGGCGCGGGATCGGCCGGCAGCAGCGCTGGCGCCGGACCATCAACATTGCCGTCTGTGGGCGTTGGACCGCCGCCGGGCGTGCCGCCGGCGCCAGGCTCTGGCAACCCGAATCCGAATCGCTGCTGTGACACCGGGCGCACCATCTACACGGATCCCGTTAGCGGCCAGACCATTTGCTCCTGCCAATACGATATGCTGAACTATCAGCGTTTAGCTGCGGCCGGTGGACTCGTCGCCGGACCCGGCGGCGTACCGCTTGGCGTCTACCCAGAGGGCATGTCTGCCTACCTGTCGGGCATCGCCGCCGATCAGCCTCCATTCTACGCTAATCCGGTAAGTAAACGCGCGCATGCAAAACCCAGCTCAGTCCCGTCCAAATGCAGCCTGTTCATAACTCATGCGTCTTAACAATGGTGCAATAAATTTGTGAATTTGTCCAACGTCCGACCAGGGACCACCGTCATCGTCTTCGTCGTCGTCGTCGTCGTTGTAGTTGTCGTTGTCGTCATTTGATCGTGTGCCAGGGCCACGCACCAGGGCAAGGCAGCAGGGCCAGGCTTCCGAACATGTGTTGTCTTTCGTTTGGCTTTCGCTCTGCCCACTGGGCCTGGGCCTGGGCCATTGGCATTCTAGGCACAGATTTGTCAAGACTTGGAGCTCTGAGTAGACCTTGTGCCTGGTGCCTATGCTTATGGCATGCCTGACCTTTTGGTGCTGACCAACCGCCGCCTGGTGAGCTCTGGCCTGGGTGATATTTCAAGCCGCATTATTCTGAGGCCACAGAGCTGAGTTCGCTCTTCTGCTGCCTCCTCTGCTGCCTCCTCTGCTGCTGCACTGCCGGGCCATACAAAGGTCCGTCGCCATCGTCCCGATTCCCATTGCCTGTTACAGCATGTCCGGCGCTTCACGGCGTGTCCATTGTTCGCCGAATTATTTCTAATAGCAGCGTGTAATTTGCTTTTGTTTGCAAACAATTCTATTTGGTTTGACTTCCTTGGACCACATGCGGTGCCGAGGGTCACCTACCAGGGGTACGGTACGGCCAGGGGTCAGGACCCCCAACTGCGTCGCTGGCCGTGCCCTGACCGGATCTGCTGTGTGTGGCTTTTCAATTCGCTCGAATTTCAAATAATGAGAATCAATAGCTATTAGCTCGTTACTTGACACATGGATACGAAGACAATCAATTAGTCGATCGTCGTGAGTTGCACCAATAAAACAATATAATACCAAAAAATCGATAAATCTTGATTATGAAGTGATGCCGGTCTTTGTTTATGTTATTAATTTTATTCTAATTATAACTATAATTATTATTTTATTTTATTTTATTTTGTTGCGTTATTATTATTATTTATTTGAGGTGAAATTCACAGCACATCGCATAAGATGCTGATCCACTGATATAATTTACCTATGCAATTTATGAAAATGGTATCCAAAAAAGTTGGTCGAATGTCTTGGCCAAATCATACGTATATCATTTAACAGCACTACAAATTGAGTCAATTAAAGTCTCTCCTTTTGAGCTAACGCCTTTATTTATCGTGTATGTTAAATTGTCTTCCTCAAACCCAAACATAACAATCGCATAAAATGCAGAAACTATTCAGTGAGCAGCACTTTGTTGTTTTTTTTTTTGTAAACATGTGTGTGTGTGTGTTCGGGTGTGTGTGTGTATATAAGTTGGTACAATATCTTATAGGTGCTTGGGAATTACGTAACAGGGTATGTGCTAGCCATGCTCACTTGAATGTTTACGTTATATACTATAGCTAGAGGCTCTTTTGGATGAACTTTTGTCCATGGGCTAAGAATATTCAGCATTAACTGATATTCGTTTATATTGAGAAATATATCTTATATTTTTATATATTTGTGTTGAGATTTAATGGCACAAAGAATAGCTTTATCAAAAATATAAATTTTTGTTTAAATAATATACATAAATTTATCTGCTGCTAGCAAATAATTCTTTATTTATATTTCCTAAAAAAAAAAACAAACATGAAAAATGTGAAACATTTAAGCAAAATGTCGATTTTAAGATTAAAATATTTGCGTTTGCAAGTACTTTATTTAACAAATTTTCGCATGAGAATTGATTGTCAAATATATTTTTGAAATATGAAAATATTTAAATGAAGCTTCAATCTGTCAAAATCAAAAAAAAAAAATCGAAATAAAAAACTGAGCCAACTTTATTTTGAACCAGTTTGTTCATGTTTTTTATGTTTATAATAGTCATATCAAATAAGTTAATACCCCTCTCGGCCGATATTAATAATTTTATCAAATCATACATGAACAAATGTGTTTGCATATGTATGTGTGTGTGTGTGTGTGTCTGACGCCACTAAAAACTGACCGGGTGAAAAATCGATCGTCGTACTACTTATGAACATCAGCATATAATCATGTGTGTGTGTGTGTGTGCATAAGTATATTGATTTGCATTTGAAGAAGCTTAGGCAGCAGCAGCTGCCAGCCAGGCAGACAAAAAAAACAAACCGGCCTGCCGCCAGTAGCTGCGGTTTTGCATAAATTTGGTTTTGTTTTGTTGCCGCTTTCGTATTGTTATTATACTTATTAAAAACACAACAAAAAAATATACAAAAATCGTCGCATTTGAATTTATCGATTGGTGATTAAACACTGTCGCTCTCAATGCCTCCAAAGGCGCCTACGCTTCGCTGACGCAGCAGATTTATGCATAATATATATATATACATATATTGTTTGGTGTATATATGTATTCGTGAGGAGAATGTGCATATATACCAATACGATCGATCTGTCAATGCTAAAGTTCATATTGAAAGGCTAAAAGCTACTGTTTCATAGTAAATTCTACAGCCATAAATAATCTAACTTTTATGCTTGACTTTAGCTTCAAGCTCATTGCAAATGCGATAGAATATTCCATAGAGTACATTGTAAATATTTACAATAAGCAACAATTTTGAAGTTTTGCCAAATGTTATTGCACTGGCGTTGCCAACTTTCGACTGCAGTTTTAACATTTACTTCCCATAAAGATAAGAAAACGATAAGTGATTTAACTGCAGGCTAAACATTTGCCAGGAGCTTAAGTTAACAATTGAAGCGCGCGTCCCTTAAAGCAATAAAAGTTGTAATAAAATCAATGTCTCGAGCAGATTAATGTATATATATAAATAACATATATAGCTCGATGTGCTTGTGCGTTTGTGAGGTGGCCATGCATCTATAAGTGTATTCATATTGATGGAAAGCGTTTAAAATGGCAAAACAGTTTCTGAATTTTCCGGCGAAGCAGCTGCATAAATCATCCGGCGATCGTAATTAGTCAAATGCGGCATTTCTTTAGAGCCGCCGGCGCTAAACTGGAGCAATTTTTCTTAGCATCTACATATCATTCGGCCGGAGTTGTAAAAGTGTCGGCTCTGTGCGGTGGATTCATTACTTTGACACGAGCTGTCAAGCGGCTGTCATTTTGCCGCAGCACGGGAATATATTTTGTTGTCTTCCGAGCCTCTCGGCGACGCATGCTAAATGGTGGATGATGGCTGAAGGTGGATGTGCCACTGTGCCTCTGACTGTGACTCGCTCTCTCTCACTCACTCTCACTCTCGGTCTCAGTCTCGCTCTCGGTGTGTCTTTTCGATGGATGGGCTGATGGTGCAACGGCGCGGCCCGCTGCTGTCATTTCAAATGGCATGAAACATTTGAAGAGCGCCGCCTGCCAACAAATAGGCCAGGCCGCGCCCGGTGTCGTTGAGGGCGTCGACTGGCGTATTTCGTACCTTATTAATAAATTTGTCAACACGCAAGTGACAGGCTGTCCGCCTGTGATCCGCCCCCGACTTCCAGCCAAAGTCAGCCAGCCGTCAGTTTATCTCTCTGTTTCGTTTATCCTTAAGGTTGACATTGACGTTAGCGCATATGTTGCATATCCTGGACGCAATCGCGTGATTCAGCTGCCGCTGCTGCTGCTGCTGCTGCCCTCGGCCACTGCCCAATTAGACAAACGCAATCATAGATATTTTTGGACGCAGTCCTATGCCGCCTTAAGCCAAGCACTGGGTGTTAAGCACTTGATGTTTTTCAGACCAGCAAAAACAACTACGACAAGCTGGACTCTATAAACGAGAGTCCAGCTGCAGATGGAGTGGGTCTGTGGGCTACGGGTCTATTGACTTTTTCATACTCTTACTAAGTGACACAACATCATCAACAACAACAAGAATCTGCACATCTACATCAACGTCAATGTCAAAGGCAACAAGAACAACAACAACAACAATAACAATGCAGGCATGAAATTTCGCACTCGACAATAATCTTACTCGGGGCCAACACAAAGTCAGCACAACGCACAAATGTGTATGCGGTATATAGATACCATGTGTATCCATATCCTCGGCCAGGTCCTGCGGGAGCTACTGCAAAAACTTTGTGCCGCTGGCAACTTGCCTGCAAAATGTAACACAAAAAGCCAACTACAAATCGGACCACTCGCTTGCACCAATGCCAAATATGTTGGCACGAGAACCCAGCAGCACTCCCACAACATCTCGTCCACACATACTCGACAGCTCAGAAACAACCCCCAGTCGCAGTGTTCGCAGGAGCTGGTGAGGTTTGCCGGAGAACGTACATGCACTGATTTGTCAACTTTCAAAATGTCGAAGTGTCGTTCTCGTCCTCGTCCGTGTCCTCGTCCAAGTCCTCGTCCGGGTCCTCGTGCTCGTCGTGTTGTTTTTTCGGGGGTTGCTGCCCTAATGGCAAGGTGACGGATCTGGAGCTGGGGCCCAGAACCAAGTACTAAATACATTTACCCATGCCACGGTCGCATTGTTGTTGCCGTAAGTGTTGTGGAAAGTTTTTGTGTTGCTGCCGTTGTTGTTTGGCTTTTTGGCAAAGTTGAAAATGTTCGTTAACAGTAAATTTTGCACTCTTATGTACACACGCACACACACACAACACAAGTCAGCTCTCTGGGTGTCTACGAGAATGTTTGAATGGCTGCCTACAACAAACAACAAATTAGCAGTCATGGCAACGCCAACATCGAACAACAGCAACAACAACAACAACGAACAACTGGAGCCAAGCAAACAAGCAGCAAGAACCACACTTACAACTTTCACATAACAACAACAGCTTCAGGCGTTCCACGCTCACAACGTTCACATCCATCCATTCCACATCCTCATCACAGTCACAGTACAACTTTATAAGCGCCAAGCGCAATAACTGTCAACTGCTGCGTGTGGAGCGGCACGAGGAGGCATCTCCTGAGGGATTGCTGGCGCTGGCGCTAGACGCTGCACGGATTCTATTTTAAAAGTCAAAATTGTCGCTGTCGTCAATCTCAGAAATCTGTTGATACCAATTCCCGATACCGATTCAGATTCAGATTCTGATTCTGATTCAGCTGGATGCTGATTCAGATGCTGTTACTGATTCCATTCATTCTTCGGTCGCGGCTCGTTCCAATGAGTACAGACAGGAATGCGCTGCGTAAACGTGCGTTTATTTTTAAATCGAAGCAGCAATTAATTAACTCGACCCGTCATTACGCGCATCATTCGCATCGCGGCGCATCAGGCGACAGACCACAGGCAAACCGCAAGGCTTCACCCGTTCCGGAGATGTCGACGTCGCCGTTGCCGTCGCCGCAGCCGGTGCCAGAGCCGCCTCCAAGTCAAATCGATTCGGGCCGTCGCGACGTGTCGGCCAATTGTCGGTGTTGGGTTATGTCCGTGGGACATCCATTGACGTTGGCGTGAAGCGCAGACAGCGCCTCACAATTTAGTTAACAATGAAAATCAGATGATGCCCTGTTTGTTCGTTTTTTTATGAATTAATTAGTTTCCCGCTATCCAAACGCCGAAGGTAGCCGTGAAATCGCACTCCACAATGCGTGAACCGACACAGCCCGAAGCGCTGCCCACTGTGATCGAGATACGGATACCCAAACGTACAACTCATACAAGGAGGCAAAGGGCTACTGTTTTACTCGCAATCAATCTAATATTTAACATGCTTGAACTTCCCTCCATGTTCATTGTAAGTACGATACAGCATTCTGTAGAATACCGTTAGCATGTGCTGTTATCCACATGTAAATATTTACAATGAGCATGAAATTACACAGCTTGTACATTTTGGTGTACACGCGTTGCCAACTGTCGAATGCAAGTTAAACGTTTGGGCAACACTAAACCATTCAACTGCAGACTAAATACTTGCCATGAGCTTTGACATGAACATGCCTAAACGAACCTGAATATTACGATTAATTCTTATCAGAGAGCAATAAGAAGTAAATTAAAACAGGAAAACAAACCAAATCTGTTCACAAGTTAGATAAAAATGTTCATCGTAGCAAAACAAGGTAAGAAAGTATCTGGGCCATATTATAAATATGATGAATCGCAGCCTGGCCTATGCAGACACATAAATTGTGTATATCACTTGCCATGCGCTTTGGCTCGATCCATGCCTGTTCTGGCCCAAATACTGTACTGCTGTAATGGATGCTGCAGTAATGTTGTGGCTGTTGCCACTACCAGTAATAATAAACGCAAAACGTAGTTGCACACATGTCGTCTGTTCATGTTGTTAATATTTTGCATCACACGCAAGAATCTTGGGAGCTGTTCGCCGGTAGCGGAGGTGGACGACCGGCTGCCGTGCACCCTATGTAAGTGGTAGCAAATGCAACAATTTATGGGATGTTGCACCGAATGCGCTTCACTCGCATGTCCCTGTCCGTGTCCGTGTCCATGTCCATAGGCAGCACGCACTCCACACACACGCTCCACACAAAGAGAGAGATTGTATGGATTTGTTGGATGCGGATGCGGATACTCTGGATGCTGTTGCTGAACATGCTGCTGGTGCACGTTTGATAGTTGAATGCGATTATTGTAAAAGTTGTAAAAATGTAAACCGGTTCGGTTGCGATTCATTGAGGAATCGCCAGCCAAATCGGAATCAAAGTCGGGATCGGTATTGGGATCGGGATGCAACAGAAACTCCAGCTTCAGCTCCAGCTCCAGCTCCAGCTGGTAATTGATCGCTCGGTTAGGCAACTTTCGACCTACCGAGCCGAAGAAGACTTGTGTATTTGCTTGCATTCGAGAACTGTAATTTAATATTGTCAGAGTCTGCCAAAAGGTTGTAAAACGTTTTGCTAAATGACTTCTGCGAACTGCACGTTACGAGCGCTTCCTTGCAGTCGACCTGTCAGTAGACAACGACAACCACAACAACGGCCACAGCCGAGGGCCACGGCTCACAGCACAGATCTCTGTCGCCGGTTATCAGTCTCTATCGCTGCTTGGCTCAAAACTCACCACATGCTGCGCATGCGAACCTTCGACGAACCGACGCGCCGACGGTCGTGGCCCTTAGCTGTTTCTCTCTCCTCTCCCACTGTCTCTCCTACTGTCTCTGCCTGGCGATTGGCGTTGATATCGGTCCAAACAGCGCACCCAACGGCAACATTCTCATATTGGCGACACACAAATATTTCCGATTTGCTGCCAGCAGCAGCCCTCGTCTCGACGGACCAGCTAACAGAAACTGCAACTGCAACAACTACAACTGCAACTGCAACTGTTGTCAGTCGCCTTAATGTCGTATATTCGCATACTTCACATGCGAACGGAAACTCCCCGCTGAAGACACACGGCGCAACAACAATGCGATATCCGTGCGTTTGTCATGTACTGAGATGCGTATCAATCGTTGATATTACATCATGTTCAAGCAGTTGTCTGACCTTTGCCGACCCGCTATGGAGATACTCTATAAACGCATAAGGAAGGCCTTAGCAATAATATTCACCTAGTTCCAGTCCAAATGTATTTTAATCCTATCAATGATATCAATCAATCTTATAGTAAACGCTTTTATATTTGCTTATAGCAGAATCTTAGGATTGAACTATTTTAATACATCATCAATGGCTTGCTTTACATCATGTTCAATTCCTTGTGAGCTTAGACGACGTCTACAGAGATATCCTACAAAAAGTGCTTACAATCATATCCATTCTTACATCAGCTTCAAGCAGTTTCCTGACCTGTGACTGCCGTCATGGCGATACCCTACAATGATACCAAACTAAGACCACGCTACGTCATATGCTTTTACCACCTTTGTACAGCAAAGAGTGGATATTTTTATCGCATCAATCATTGCTTTACAGCATGTTCAATCCCTTGTGATCGTTGAGAAAGAAACCTCAAAAATAACGCCTATGAATGATGCCTCATTTTGGGCTTTAACCAATTTTTTATTAGGTATTCTTTGTTTTATCGTAGTTAGCTTCTGTTATCATTTCAGCAGCTGTTCTACCCCCCCCCCCCCCTCCCCCCTCGTCGCTTTCCCAGTTGTTGCCCCTTTCTTTGGATTGGGCTCTGTGCAATCTTTAGGCCTGTTATCACTTGGTACACGACAAACAGCTGACATCAACATCTGTCGCAGTGAATTTAGACAAGACTAAATTACTAAATGTGTATATAAGTAATTGTCATGTTACACTTAATCAACAATACACATACACACACGTGCCTATGTGTGTGTGAGCGTGCGTGTATCTCTATCTGTGGGCTTTTGTGATTTTAATTACGCGCTGTGGCAAGAGATGGCCACAGCCTGACATATGTTTCATTTACGTCTACTTGTATTATGTACAAAAGCCATGTATTCGCATCTCATTATCAAATTAAAGAGTCGTAGCTGTGAATCTGAAGTGAATATATATTTATTTATATATATATGTATATATGTATATGTGTATGCAGACGTGGACGCGGATGCGGACGCCCTTTGGTCACGTCTTGTCCTCATGGGCGACAGATCGACGCTAAGCTTCGTTTGCTGCTCCGGCTTATCACTAAATATTGCTGTACAATGGGCCGAATTCAATGTTTATTAACATTGACTACAATTGTTTGCCACTGTGCCAATCGATTCAGTTCCTCTTCTAGACAGTTGGCTTTATTTTCGACCAATTCGTAAATGCCCAGCTTAGTCGGGATATCTAGAAGAACAAAAGGTACTTAATTTCCTACCGATCCCTTCTATATTATATGATTTTTTTTGGCCAACATAAAGATTCTACTTTGTCCCATTGTAAACAACGCTCAGATAACGCATACCTCCCAAAAATAAGTAGATGAAAGCGTAAAATATGTACTAATGATTTGTTTAACATGATTTTTAATAATTTCGGTTCAAGGTCTTGGCTATTGGTCAAGCAGTTCAACATATTCATTTTTCGAGAGATTATAGCTACATACAATATATTTAGTATGTGTAGAACATTAATTATAATTAAACATGCCAAACCTAATAGATTATGTTTATATTCATTTGCAGGCCGGCATTGATTTAAAGGAGAACCTGGTGGCCGGAGCTGCACCGTGGCCGTATCCATCAATGTATCATCCGTATGACGCAGCCTTTGCCGGTTACCCCTTCAATAGGTAAGTGCAGCAGATGAATAACAATAATTTGACATTGAGCCAGCCAGCCAACACAATCAGGAGTGTGTCGGCATAGAGATTTGCTATTTAAACAAAAAGACTCAACTCTGAACGGGCGAGAACATGAACGGTGGTCCGACAGGCGATCAACGCCAACACATCAGCCCGGAGACGTGACCAGCACATGAATACCATATGCTCAACTAGGGCGCGGCCCTGGCCAACAGCAACAGCAACAGTAGTAGCCAGCAATAATAATAATACATCAGGAGTAGGCACAGTGGCTGTTGAAAGTTGTGTGCCACAGTTGCGTGCAGCTGCATTCAAAATGCCAGCCAAATTCGGTGCTCACCTTAGCCGCAATGTGCGTAAAAAGTAAAAGCCATGCACATTGGCACGCACAAAACAAAAACAAGCCAGCTCTGATGGGGAGTGCTCGACTAGCAGATACCCTGAACATTTGAACTATCTTCTACGAATACTCACACATACACACACTCCCACATTGCCACATGCAGCAGCTGTGCTTCTTCTTCCCTCGTCCCATACTTTAGGAAATCCTAACTTGAATAACTTCGGTGTTTATATTCCGATCATTAGGCACTTTTTAATGCGTTAATATGGCATCCAAATATGTGTATATAGCAAAGTCCAAGAGTCCATACTAGAGCATAAATACCAAATTTGATGTCTCTATCTCTTTTAATCATAGAGTTATGCCCAAAACACCTTGTCACAAACTCGATAATATATTCCAAAGAAATATTGTGTGGTAAGTGACAATGTATTAAGCCAACTCGAAGCAAGTCTAGAGACTCGCCAAGAATATATTTACTTCCTGGGCTCAGAGATGCTTCCTTCTGCGAAAAACAATCGACCCCTTTCACTCATATTCAATGGGTATGCGTATAAAAACAATAAAACACTCGCATATATATGATTTTCTATCATTAACAACAATTTATTTGCTTGTAATTGATGATCGGCCGACGGGCGTTGGCGGAGTGGCCGCTTCCGCTGGACGACAACGACGACAACGCAGCGCAGAGTTTTGCCCATCGACACACATCGATATTTCCAAACAGAGTTGTCCGTTTAAACAAAACAGCGACAACATCCCGTCACGTCAGGTAGAGCGCTGGCTGCCTGCTCTCTCATTGTTTCCACAGTAATTGACACCCATAACAAAAATTTGAAAGTTGAGTCATGTCGTTGCTGAGCTTCTCGTTTATGTTGTTGTTGTCTATCGAATCATATTCACAATAAATCAATTTTGAGTTATTTCGCCGTGACGTGCCGCCAGAGAACTGCGAATTCGATTCCGAATTCAGTGGATAAAGCTGCAAAGAAATTTGTGGATGTGTGCGTTTGGCCCCACCTTGTCCGATTAAAAAGGGGCGTGTACGCAAGCCCCCGCTGCATTGTTTGACAACGGCATCCATATCCACGTTCACATCCACATCTACATCTACAGCCACATCCACATCCACATCCACAGCCGCACGTGTGTGCGGGCTGAGGCAAAAAGCCGCCGGACGTTGATAGGAAAATTAAAAAAATTTATTCAACTGTCAAGTGATCAAAGGCAGTGAGTGGCTGTCGGCGCAGGTGTTTTGCACTCGGCGACACTTCGTTTTCAAATTTAAATTAATTAATGCAACGCACACAGAGCACACTCTCTCACACACACACACACAGAGACTGGCATCGGCGGCAACTGCCGCGAAATGGCAGTTGCAGTATCCGACTCCGAGTCCGAGTCCAGCAGTTGTGCAGCTGGCTGGAAACTACAAATGGGACAGCTACATATGTACGCATATCTGCTGTTCCGCTGCTGTCTATGGATGCACTTGTGCATATATACACATGTATACAACATGCACACACACACACACACACACACACAGACAGACGCACAGCCAGACACACATGACTCCATGTCCATGTTAACTGCCCACAAAAAACGATAAAGGACAGTCGCGCCCATTGCAATTACCATGGTCAGCTCCGAAATGTGTTGCCCGACCGCAAACTGCAGCATGTGTACATAAATGTCGCTGGCCACTGCAGACAGGCGGCCCATTGCACATTTGGCTAGCAAATGTGTTTATTATAAACAAATGTTGCCGCCCATCGATGATGCGCTCCCAAATGAAACCGAACTGATTCGAATTCCGAATTCCCATTTATTTGTTGCTATGAACCGAAATTAAAGCCAAATCAATTGCCCAAAAGGCAGCTTGACCGAAACCCGAACCAGTCCATTTTTGTTTGCACGAGCTCAAGCAAATTTAATTTGTAATGTTTAGTAGAAGAAACAATAATAAATTAAAATTTGAATTGTTTAATTCAAATTCCGAAAATATAAAACAAAGCAAAGCTTAAGCTTTAGACAGGGCCTGGTTCAAATCGAACCAGCTAACATTTTTCTTGCTGGTTCGCAGCGCTGTTTAAAATCAGCTTGACAACAGTTGGGCCCGTTAAATTAGCCAGACTGTGCGTAAACCGGTGCTCCTATTATTTTTGCCACCTGTGTACTGCTCTGTACAGCCGTCGGCCTGTCGACCCAAACCCTTCGCTAGTCTCAAAGGTCGCTCTCTCTAATCTTTTGGCCTTTCTTGATTGCAGCTATGGCATGGACTTGAATGGTGCCCGGCGCAAGAACGCAACGCGCGAGACGACATCAACGCTCAAGGCCTGGCTGAACGAGCACAAAAAGAATCCTTATCCCACGAAGGGCGAGAAAATAATGCTGGCGATTATCACTAAAATGACGCTCACCCAGGTATCCACCTGGTTTGCAAATGCGAGAAGAAGACTGAAAAAGGAGAACAAAATGACCTGGGAGCCAAGGAATCGAGTCGACGACGATGATGCTAACATTGACGACGACGATGATAACGATAAGAATACGGAGGACAACGATTTGCTAGGTAAGTGAAGTGCCTCATAATCTATATAAAAAGAGTTTCTCCTGACTGATTGATCGACTGAGTGAGTGATTGACTGAATGGCCCATAATCTATATAAAAGATTTGTTCGTGGTGAACTGTTATACTCTATATGAATTTCTCGTGATTGATTGATTGACTGAGTGAGTGACTGACTGACTGAAGAGGTCCATAATCTCAATATGAGCTATTCGTGACTGACTGATTCGCTGACTGAATGACTGATTGACGCACAGCGCTAACCATATGAGTTAGTAAACTGACAGTTACCGTTTGTGATGTAACTGCCTTTTGTAAAATTCCACCCGCAAGTGTGGAAAATTCATGGAAAAATTCATCGGCGGTATGCAGATTATTATTATTATTTTGTTTAGCATCCGATCAACTTTAAACTTAAAAGTCCTTTAAGAGGAAGAAGTGCGAATGAAATTTACAGCCTTGGACTCATTTGTTTTATAATGAATACGAGATTACAATTTTCAAATACCTTTGTAAATTATATTAATTATATTACGAGCGGAAAATGGGTGGAAGTGTAATTTCAAAATCAAGAAAAAACTGGACTAGCAAAGCCGAGAAAGACCCGCTAACTTATATGGACGACTTCTATTCTATTCATTATTTACTCAACCACGAACTGCGTCGGCTGCAACATATACTTATTTGGCCACAATTAACTCGTTGCAGATGCAAAGGACTCTGGCCTGGGCTCAAATGATGACAAGGACCGTATCGGGCGACTGGGCGATATGATGGCCGACCGGCCCGGCGAGAGCAATAACAGCGAATGGTCTGAGTCGCGGCCCGGTTCGCCAAACGGCTCGCCAGATCTATACGACCGACCTGGCACCCATCCGCTGTTCCATCCCGCCGCCCTGCATCATCACTTCCGGCCACCGACTGGCTCGCCACCGGACATCGCCGCCTACCACCACCATCAGCAGCAGCTACTGCAGCAGCATCAGCAGGCGCAGCAGAATTCGTTGCAAACCGCTGTCGGCGGCACTGGGGCCAGTTTGGCCGTGAAGCCACGCATCTGGTCGCTGGCCGACATGGCCAAGGATGGCAAGGAGTCGAGCTCTGGCAACAAGGATAACTCGCCTGCTGGCGAGCTGCCACCGTCTCAGCCGGCGTTCTATGGCCATGCGGGTCACAACCAGCATCCGTCTCCGGGCAAGATACTCTCGCCGCTGGCTGCTCGCATACCCAACTATGCGCCATATGTGCGCCCGGATTTGTATCGCGGCTTCTATGGACCGGCTGCAGCTGCTGCCGCCCATTTGAGCGCACCCACGCAGGAGTTTCTGGAGCATCAGCGGCATTTTGGTGCCAGCCTAGCGGCTCACAACGGGCTCGGCATGAATCCGTTGCTGTGGAAAGCGGCGGTGTCCGGTGCAGCAGGTGGCCAGCACTTTGCGCCGCTCAGCCTGACAACCAGCAGCAATGCGGGACCAGCACAGGTGGCACCGCCGCCGGGTGCATCGCCGTCAGCGTCCAGCTCGTCGTCGTCAATGGGCTGTGATGTGGTGCATATACCCACCAGTGGATCGCATTCGACAGTGCAGCATATGATCGGGCCCATATCCAGCAATTCGACCTCTTCATCGTCCTCCTCCAATTCCGGGAAGATCTCTCCTGGTGTAAATGTCGTCAGTCTAAGCGGCAAGCCATGACACCCATCGCAATCGCAATCGCACTCGCACTCAGCCTCAGCGTCCGCGTCGGCGTCGGCGTCCCCTGATCCGTACGCATTGCCGCCGGTGGTTGCCAATGGATCAGCCGCATCTCCGATCTCGGCATTCCGGTCCCTGTCGCTGATCGCCATACGGGAGCATCACCTGCAGCAGCAAGCACCAAAGCTGGCGCTGCTACGGCCGTAGCGAGGTACGGAGTTCGGGTCATGTCAGCGAGCAGGGCGCCCGGCTATCGAGCTAGTTTAGATCAGTTCCTGTAGCAGATCGGGCAACTTTCGGACAATAATTTACATGTGATTATTCGGTATTTTGATTAAACGCCGCTTACACCAAATAGCAAGAATCATCCCGCTGGTTCAGCAGCGGTTCCATTGACACAACAGCCGCATCAACTGTCAAGGACTTTGTGCAATTTTGTGGGAATGCAAATCCTAAATCTAATTGAAAATACATTAATTTTAAAATACATACAACTTACGCAATCAGAGCTTATAGGAAGTAAATTTGTAAGAGTTAGTGAAAAACGACCCCAATGACAACTAGCAACATACAAAAAACACACACTAAAAAACAAAGAAGCAGATCAATATATGTATCTCGAGCACAGGAACCCAACCCAAGCCCAAATATAGCCTGATCCACACTCTCTCACACACACGCCAAGCAACCAGTTGGTGCTTCTGTTCGATTAGCTGTTAGATTAGAATCGCAAAGCTGGTTCGAACCCCGCACTCCCCATGTTATGCCAGCGCTTTGAGATCTAGCAAAGTAATTATATACATATATTTTTTTGACCTTCACATATAATTGGCTTCAGACCGGCGCTGATCTAAGCGGTATCAACGATATGTACCATATATACATATAGATATATATATATGAGTATCTTACACATATTAAGTTAATTGAAGTACCATGTCATATGCTTGTATCGGGTGGACATAAAACATATCAACGTCACCAAGCTCCAATCCAATCCCTGGACCCAACACATACCACACCAACCGCCCGACCGCCCGACCACCCGACCGCCCTGACCCAAACCAAATATGCAAGTAAATGCGAGCAATGATTGATTTAGTTGTTTATTGTTTTTATTGTCTTAAGTTCAAACTTTGTTCCTGTCGTTTGTAAATTTAATTTATTGTATTTGTATGTATATGTATGTATTTATTTGATAAATTGGCAAACCACGATTTACCTACTTATACTTAGTGTACGAATATACATATATACATAAATATATATATATATATATACATATATATATATATTTAATAATTGCTGTATTTTATGCACAAACTTGTATGTAAGCTCGCATAGTTTTAGTGTTTAGTGTAATATACTTAATGCAACTGTATATACTTATAATACCTAAATAATAAATAAAAAAAATAAAATAAACATGAAAATGATACATATAAAAAAGAAAAACGAACAAACTTTACTTTGAATGACAAAGACTTAATAATCTGAACAATGGGCCTCTATTAAATCTCTTGATAACCACATGCCCATTTTATTGATTTAAAGTGTTTCATTAATTTAAATCGATATTGGTATTAAGGTAATACTAATCGCAGTCTGTCCAGTGGAGAGTCAAGCAACTCAAATTGATAATCGTTAATCGCTAACAATGTCAACTCACCAAGTAGTCAACGGCTTGATTGGCCTTGGTCTCTTGTCTCTTGTCGCTGCTGTCTTCATGTCAGCGCAGACGATCTCTTTAAGTTATTCGAAAGCGTTTGTTGTGGCTGGTGTACTGGCGAAAAAGCTGAAAAGCAAAATTTCATTTTGCTCGAAACGTGTTTTCCTGCAGCGCAGACCGGAAGTGCATTCGCAGACCTAAACAGAACTAAAGCAGATTGTGCACAAGACATGCTACTTATGAATGACAGCAATATGCTAGTGGATAAAGTTCTTATACCCTGCACCCATCAAATTGTTTTTCTTTTAATAAGCAGCTATAATTACTAGAGCAACTAGGTTACATTTTAGATACAAATATCCTCGGTAGTTTTGACAATAATGAAAACAATTCATTATGAATCCATGTATCAATTCATCAGAGTAACATGTTTTATTGATATGGATGGATGTCGAAACCACATACTGTTTGCCCGAGGAAGATCACAATTCTTAAAAATTGTTTTTAATAAGTGAGACCTGGACATACCCTACTTATATGGGATGTTCCTCATAGATAGACATTTATAAAAGTTATTTTTTCATAAAGCTGAAATTTGTATAGGTATATTTGTATTTTTAAAGAGAATCATTTTACTATAGCCTGAACCAGAAACTTTTTCGATGCTTCGATTCTAATGTTATATGTGTATAAGTATGTTTTTAGGTATGCCTCTGGGCTCGCTTATGAGAACTGCCTGTTACTTACATTTGCAGAAAGCCAATATACTCTTAACCCATTTTCATTGGGTTCAGAGTATAAGAGGTTGTCTAGTCGAAAGTCCTTTACTATAAAACAATACTTAGCACAACAAACTTTTTAGGTTCATTCAAATTTCACCCACATACGCGATCATATCTTATTGATAATCATATAAAGACTTATATAGAGTGCATATTTGTATAATATTAGCATTCCATTTCAACACATTTTAATGGGTATAGGATGACGGCGATCCGATAGACTTGTGTCGTCTTTTCCGTGAAACGAAAGTGCTTTCGTAAATGCATCCATTGTTTAGGTCTTTGTGCCGCCGACCAATCAATAGGAGTAATACTATAAACCGATTAGTTGACTCCAGTTAAGCTGCCGGGGTTACCTAAACTATTTAAGAATGAATAATTTGTATAAAAGAAAGTTGTGTTGATGTCCGTTTGCCGCCCCACCAACATAATTAAATCATTGGACTGAAAATACCAGACGATATTGCGATCGACATAATCCGACAAACGTTATCCGTTCCAATTTCAAATGACGACAGAGTTTTAACGGCGCTGACAATACACGGCCGACATTTTATGTTAGGCCTTTGTCTGCAGTTACAAAGAGGGACAAGAATCAACAAAGTGCTCGGCGCATGAAATAATAATTTACTTCATAAAAACAGACGTCAGCTTAATATTCGAGAGTTCTTTTTATTCTTCTTCTTCTGAGCTACTGGTTTTTTATTCAAGACACCAGATTACGCCGCTTGTGTGGGATTGACAAAAAAAATATAAGTATATATGAAGAAAAAAACACCTTTGTTGCTATAAGACGTCGTCTGCGAGTTAAGCTGGATCGTTCAATTGGGATACCTCTGCAGCCGCTTTTATAACTTTGTCACAATATTTCTATGACATTTCTGACTCCGAATACATTCAAATAATATGCCAACAACGCCATAAAACAAAAACAAAAAAAGACAAACTAAGTACTATTGCACAACAAATTGTGTGTCCATGTGCAAAGGTCGATTGTCTCAAACCAATCGATCGAATATTGCTGAGATAACTGTATTAATATATATACAACTGTTTGTCCAGACTGATTGACTGACTGACTGACGGACTGATTGACTGACTGACTGAATGATTGGCAACTGCATTTTACAGTGTTTACCTTTTGCGATTTCAATGTACTCTAAAAAGGAGTTTTTAACATTCCACCCGCAAAACGTACATAAGTGTATATATAAGTATGTATTTTTGCATGCATATGTATGCATATATGTGACATATGTATATATTTATATGTATGTGTGTTTCCTTATACAATCGCCAAACTTATTTGACGCAGCGCTGCTGATAAAATAAAACTTATATTTTCTTAACGCTGTCCTACTCGATTCTCATAAAATCAAGTAGGCCTAACAGACTTTCGGGCTTTAATTGTTAGTGTTAGGTAGAAAAGTGGTGTTTGAAATATAAAGTTAGAATTAGCTCAGTCCTTTAATTTGCTCTCCCCTCACTCGCTCTCGCTCTCCCTCCTTCTCTATCATTTGCACTCTCTCTCTCTCTCTCAAGCTATTTTGCTCTCTTTCTAACTTATTTTTTCCCTTTCTGCCTCTCTCTCAGCTATTTTCTTGTAAACAATAAACCTAATCAAGATTTTCAGTAGTTATATACATTTGTTAGGCCCATAAACATGTTCAAAATTTTAAGCCCATTGGCCAGATTTTCAATTTAAGCTATTATCTTTTAAGAGACACACTATATAATAATTATTATGATAATTTTGTAGGTTGCATTTCTGTTCCGATGTGTGTTAAATTGCTGATTAAATATAGGTGGACTGAACTTGGTAAACAAATATGACGATAATGACATGTTATTAAGACAGCCAAGGAAGGGATTTCAGACAATGCTGGGACCGTTACAGAAATGATTTCTCAGTCGAGTTCAAAAGAGTATGTTGCGCAAAAAAATGCAAAGTTCAACTTCCGCGTTTAGCCAAGTGGAACGAATTGCAAGTGGAAGGTTTGCTACATTTTCAGGTCTTGCCAAACTTTTATTAAGTGTCTGACAGTCAAACAGAAAAGCACATGTTGGTGCTGGGGTCTCATCAAAGACTTAGTTGCCACCGAAAATGTACTGTAATAATTATCCAAAACTAAGAATAATATTAAAAAGAAATAATATTTATAAAATATACTTTCGTAAGATAAAATAGGCCCCATTAAAGTCTCGACTTGACGATTAAGTCAGTATCAAGAGAGCACTTGCAGATATAGACATAAATAATACACTCTGACAAGATCGTGTTGATGCATCCTTTCAACAAAATTACGCATCGCACATACTTACTTATTACGTACACATTTTGACACGTGGGGCACGTTATTCGGAACACATCGGCGGTCGGCCTTTGATTTAAATTGTGTTTATGCAGCAAATTAAAAGATCAAAAGATATTCAACTGCATGAGTAGGTACTCGCTGTAAAGATGAGGGCGAACTAAAAAATAAAATATTAATATTTGCCTGAAGTAATGTTCGAGTATACTCATGAAGGCTACGATGATTATTGCATCCGTGTTGACAGATGATTGAGATGGCAGCGCGCAGGGAAATGGGATCCAAACTATGTTGAGTAAGGAAATATTTCCGGCTAA